TTGCACAAAACGACGATCATTTTTCTAATTTCTTAAACAACAGAAGACTGTATTTCTTCTACATAACCCCCCCTGACTTTGAGAGAACGGATCTCAAAGTCAACGTTGCCAATTTTGCTCCGTCATATTGACGTGACGCCACCGTCTCAAACTTATAAGCAATTTAGACGGACGTCAAAACTAAAGTTTTCACAGTTGCCACGTCATATTAACGTGGCAGCGCGGGATTTATTTGATGATTTTAAAGGAAATTAAACAATAATTAATATAATGTAAGCGAGTGCAGATTTCGAGATCGTCTAATCTCAGGCACCCCCAAGATCGGTTTCGAGCCTATTACCAATCTTCAGCTGGCGTCATCTTGACCTCCTTGATCTCCTGTGGAAAATACATTGGCAAAATAAAGTGCAGGCTTCGCGATGGGTGTTTTCAAGCTGAAACATCTTCATTGGCCTCAAAACTGGGCCTGGAGGTGCCCGAGGTTTGGAGCCGTTGGGCGGTATTTTTTAAGGATCATTGTAAATCCTGATCCAGAAGCCGTAGTGATAGAAAAAAGTTGTTCCATGTTATGCGGACGACCTCGGCCTAGTACCGCCCTGTGAGCGAGCGTGTCCTTCGATAATTCCACTGCGACATATAATTCCTGCTACCGCAGTTTGCTAGACATCTGGCGGTCCCCGCAGGCCGAATCAACCGAAATGCTGGTATACCCCGAGTGGGTATCTTCGAGCTTTATGTGCGATTGTCCATCGGCCACTTGACCACAGGAAAATTTCCAACGAATTAGATCAGTCATACGTCAATGTGACAGGCACCAAATCTATTAATCGGTACATAAAGATCGATTAAAGGTACTGGTACTGCGCTAAGCAAAAAATTAATAATAAGTAATCAATGACGGCCGGCGGGGCTGTGGTTCAGCCAGTACCGCCTGCCAGTCGTGGATCTTGATGGGGCCGAAATGGAATTAAATCGGTCCTTCGAGCTGTATCATTAGGCACGCGAGGGGGCTTTAATCGCCCCGCGCCCGATCATTTTCATAAATTCAGGCGAGTGGGCGCCAGATGGGCAGGCATGCCTAGGCACTTGACGTTCGTTTTGTTTTCGTCGATTTCGGAATAATTGTTCAGTTCGATCACGCCCCTCGAACATGACTTGGGACTTAGCTATGCAAGCCTCGTTTCGGCTAAAAGTTACATTAAGCGCCTAAGTAGCTAGACGGGCAGTCCGGACCACGTGGTGGCTCTGAACAATGGCATGTCACCCGTAATGTATTCAACAGGCAAAGTTCAAACAAATCTTGTAAAAAGGTGCTTCACATTATTGCCTGTCCGATCATTTCGTATGCTTGCCGGATCCGGATTTCACTTGAACACATTGTGTCCGACGTGCTTTTCCCATTTGACCAAAACGCCATTAATATTCCCCGTTTTTTTCCTGGTTAATTCCCCATCTGAAACCTGCTGCCCCCTGGGGCCCACCATACCAACCATACGACTCACTTCGAATATGGCCGCCAACAGCTGATGCGACAAATTGTAGGTTAGTGTCGCTGATGAGTTGGCAAAGGACTTGACATTTAATTGGCAGCGGTCCTAATCATTTGAACATTCAAAGCACATGAATAGGACAATGGAGCATTCTACTATTAATAGTTGTGTGTTTTTCTCCCGAAACATGACATTGTTCATTTCAGCACGTGCCGGACTGAGGACCGTTCGGTCAATAAACAAATTAGGCTCGATGGCATATAAATAAACAAAAAAATCAAAACAAATCGGCGACGTGTCCGTTGGAATGGTTGTTTGTTCGTCGCGGCGTTGAATGCAAATGCGCCGTTTTGTCGCCTACGTGCCCGTTGAATTCTCCTGAAGAATCAGGTCTACGGCACGCGATGTTCCTTTGTTCAATCACCATGGCGACACAAGGAAAATCACAAATTTTCCAAATAAACGTCAAATTTGACAGATCGGGGGCGTGGCCTAACACTATAGGCCCAAGTGCGCTTAGGATGCCAATCAACTGGCTGGCTTTGGTTGATTTCAAGGCAACTTTTCCCGTTGTCTGTTATTGGTGTCGATTTTTTTCTTCACGCGTTTCGAACAAAGTCGCGTTGCGATGATGACAAGGTTGTGCCTCGGCTATTAAGTCAATGTTAATTAGAGGAAATGACAAGTACAAAGCGCAAGTAGTGCTGGGTAGACGTTTTTCATTAGAGAGACAAGAGCGGAGGCGTGGGGTGTGAAGCAAACCAGAACACGGGCGAAAATCACGAGGAAATTAAATGGGGCCCCGCACCTTACGTTACACGGGCCCCGTTCCAGGATGTGACTACCGACTTAATTCGAAATTAGCTAAATTGCTTTTTCGTGTGATCGAGTTTTTTGATGGTCGCAATGAGCAAGGCCAACGGCCAAAGCCGCTTTTTCGGGTCTAAAAGCAATTAAATTAACTCAGGAAAAATCTAGAAAATCCAGCCACTGCTAAGGTTGAAAACGGGCTACTTTAGCGAGTTAACGCAGAAATTTATAATTTTTGGCGGATTGCGTTGCTACTAAAACCAAATATAGATGAATTCAGCGACCCTATCGGGCAATGTGAGCAAGTGCCATAAAAACCCGCGTGTTGAAAAGGGACGCTTCGAAGGGCTTCTCTGTCCAACCCAGCGACTCTAAAGGAAGATTTCTAACATATAATTAGGCTGAAAAACGCGAATTCGGATTTCACGTACCTACTAGAGCCCACCAAATCCCCAAACCAACATGAACAGTAATGTTGATACTCTTAAGCCCCCTATTTGTTTATCAGCTATTTGCTTGCAAGTCGTAAAGGGATTTCTTCACAGATCCCCAGTTACGCGACTGTTGCGACATTGGCAGTTTCCAAAACCCGTCCGGTGTGAGCCGTATGGTCGTAAATTTGTTCAATCAAGAAAAATCTTGCAGTTTCATCCACATGGAAATTAGGACGACAATAAAAACCCCCAACCACAGAAGAAGACGAAGCAATGTAAATAATTTCGCGGGCTCACTATCGATGATTGGGCTTTATGGGGCCCGGCCCGGCAATTTGCATAATTTAATATGCCGGCGCGCGTGGGCCCCGGATCGCAAGAACTGCTATGAATCAAATTATCAATATCAATGGAGTTTTTGCGAAACTTTTAACGATAGTCCCTTGGCCGTTTATCCGTCCACCATAATCTACTAGTAAGTTGCATGATTTGCAGTCATAGCAATGTAGGGGAAGGTTTGCGAGCACAGAGGGCAGCAGCGCATGGACCTCACCCAAACTTCAGGCCCAGGGAGATGAAGTATTGCGAAGACGCAGCATATGGGCAATTTTATATTATCGCAGTCCAGACAGAAATTTCCATAAATAATTCTTGTTGTAAGCGCCGAAATTAATTTTTTCGCCACAATGCGCCCAAATCTAGGTTAGTTGTCTCCAAGCAAATGTCAACGTCATTTCATTTCCATAAGCGTATCATCTCCGACACGTGTTTGGGTTTTTGCGCAATAATAAAATCGCCCAAACAAACATGAAAATATCAGTTATTTGATAATATTTTGGTATATCCTAGCAGGGGCTGCCAGTCATATAACTTTTATGGCACATAAACGTTTTATGTTTTAATGCTTAGTCGCCATATAACCTCACTACTTGAATTACATTTTATTGCTTTTTATTTATTTATTTGGCCTCCAAACCCCTGTTGAAATTGAGCGAAAAATTCCTCCGAATAGAACTTGCGGGGCATTTGCTTATTGGCCACACCCTGTATTTATCATTATTAATCCGACTAACTAGTTGAACTTCAAGTGAGTGGATTTATCGGGAAAACTGCGCAAAGAAAAATGAATTAATCATACTTGAGCGTGCAATATCTCGGCAGATAGTGAATAATTAATTATGTTTACAAATTGCTTTGAAGCGTCTATGGCTATTTATCAAGTTTTTCGAGAGCGCTGTCACGGCAACCATTTTTTTCGCCTCTTGATTGGCTGCCATGATTTGTCCGCTATAGGTTAGGGTTGCGTAGATCGAATAAAACTCCCAGTGGATCGATTATAAAACTTTCTGTATTTCAATACAAATTTTCTCCAACTTTATTTACAATACAATATTTTATTTACAATTAATCTAGACTGTATACAGGGTGGCTCATTTATTTCGTCTAATGGGACTATAATTCACAAGAAGAAAAATATACACGTGAAATATTTGTCTAACAAGTATGTGCCAATGAGCTTTTGAGTCGGGAAATTGATTGATTTAAAGTAAATTTTGCAAAGTGTGGCATCAGTGCATTTTGCAACAAATGTCATGTCAAAATAGCCGTTGGGAGAACGCCAAAATACGGCCAAGTTTGACTTAGTGGAAACATTATTCAAGAGTCAGCTAAATTGTGCCACTCTGTATGTACAGTAACAACGATAAGATTTCCGTCAAAAAAAGTCAGTTCACAGTGTTGCCGGACTAGCAGAGTCGGCTTCATTAACTAGACTATTTAGGTACTAATATCAACGGCAATATCAACAAATAATTACAAGGGAATATTGCACTAAATTCAACAAAAACCTACAAAAAGTCGTATTGAAAATAAACCGCGAATCAGATTGCCGATTGAGTATAAGTGGCGTTTTTTAGGAACCTTATTTCTAGCCTCAGATAAACACCATGTTAAGTAACTATCGATTAAGCAGAGTGTACTGGCCTTTAGAATAACTCATTCTTCTGCAGCGTTGCCGGAGTTGCCGGTTTTACGTAGGAAAACCGTGAGTGTTATTGGCAACACCGTGTGGTCGTCGGGCACTAGACTTCCGTTGAGAACAACAAACAAATTTAACAGCAACAACAATAACAAAACAGGGGTCCGAGTCCAATCACGTGCTGAAGCAAGTTTTTCGCACCCCGGCCAGAATTTCACTAAACTCGTCCTCGCTTTTCGGCGCAGCTACGCCATTCGGAGCCAGATCGTACACTTCCGGCCTAAGTCCGGCTTCAACCATAGTGGGCGCAGTCTGCAGGATTACACTCGTATGGTTCGCCTGATACGGATAGGCACTGCTCACTACCGGCGATTGCGCACTCATGCCCTCACTCCGATGATAGTTGTGGTTCGAGTCGATGCTCCGCCCATCCATCCCCCCCACCAGGTACTTGCTGTCATTGACCGAGCCGTCATATTTGAGGTACTTGTCAAACTCTTGTCCGTCAACTTCACTGTCCACGTCGCTGCGCTCTTCCGGCAAGTAGGTCTGCACAAGGCTGTGCTGCGATTGGTCGTGCTGATGCGCTGCGTACTCCTGATACGCGTGCAGACTGTCCATGGGTTTCATGGGTGGGTATCTGGAAACAAGGCTCCGATTGTACGGAGGCTGAGGGGGCGGATCGTCCAAGTGCACTCACCCGATGAAACTATCCTTGTTCTCCTGAGCAGCGTGCTGCTCATAAGCGGCGTATTCCTTCTGAGCGTGCGGGCTGTAGTAGCTCAGGCCGTGATAGTACTGAATGTTGCCGGATGAGTTCGCAATCACTGTGTTCATTGACGTTTGCTGATTGACGCCTGCAAAGAAGCGCGGAGCTTAGTAAAGTCCCTGAAGGAGCCTAGTAGGGTTTTCAAGAGTGGTTAGGAAAAAACCGCTGAACTCACCGAGCAGTTGCTGGTCCTGACTGGTGGCCACTGGGGGATAGAAGGTCCCGGTCACCACATGGCCTTGCTCCATGCTGCTCTTATTGGCGCACATAACGTACATGCCATTGGACATGGGCACTGATGTGATTGGCTGCGTGTTGGTGTAGTGGGGGTTCATTTGCCTGTAGGTGTGCACCTGGAACCAACGAAAAGCCGTTGGGATCGCCCCTTGGTGTTGCCCACCCGACCCACTCACCTTGGAGGTGTAGCTTTGCTGATTGGGCGCCGTCATACTCATGCTGCTGGTCACATTGCTGGTGTGCTGAATGCTGGACACGCGCTCCTGATTATCCTGTTGCCCCATTGGGCTCAGTTCGGGCGTGGGCAGTTGCGTATCCTTTTCCTAAAACCGCAAGTCCATAAACTGGACCAACAGCTGACCACGAAACCTACTTGACTTTGATTCGACTCTTTGGATCCGCCGTCCTGGGGACTATTCGATGACCGCTTCGGCTCCGGACTATGAGTGGGCGAAGTCTCGGGCGTGTGAATGGAGTAGGGCGACTTTTCCGGGTAGTTTTGGTAGGCCGCGTAGGCGTAGTTGCTGAACTTGTACGTATCGGGGCTGTACCTGGAAGCCACCCCCTAGTTAATATCAGAGCTTTCGCCCACTGGAAGGCTGTTGGGACTGACCTCTTGTCCTGGCTGTAGTCGCCTGGGGCGCTGCCTCCCGGGCTAGGAAAGTCCAGAGGCGACGCATATCCCGCCACCGTAGGGGAAAGCCCGGCGTTGGGGACGTAGCCCTGGTACCTGCATTTACATCAGCATGTAGATGGGCAGTAGGAGAAAGCCAGAGGGACGATTTGTGACAAAGAAAAACGCAGAGAAATGTTGAAAGGGATTGAGGACGGCTGGAGAAGAGGAGCGGGTACAAGATGGAGAAGAGTTAAGGCAAAAAATATGTGTGTAACCTGCAGAGCCTAATGGGCAACCATGGGGAACGGTTAGAAAGAGTTTGTTTGGAGGACTTATTGCGGTATTCTTGCATTCTGGCACACACACCACTTATTTTGTGATCCGTACATGTCACTATTTTCCATTATGCACGATAATAATAATCAATAAAATAATGATAATCACATTAACTTAAATAATAAAACAACAAAATAAACACGAGACACTTTGTTGATATGACCTGCTACGTCATAATCAGGATAGGTAACCGACGATACGGATTCGGCGTTTATGGCGGAAAATATCCGATTTGAATTTAAATTCGCTTTTAAAATATTATGGAGACTTTTTTCCAAAAAAAAATTATATCAGTGTAATGTTTGCCATAACTACTTTCTATACAGGGTTATTCACGCTATACGGCACGGACGTTTGCGGCTAGCCCGTTTGTTTTTTGCAAAGTATTCACACACAGACAGTAGAAGTATTAAAGTTATGTTTTTCTA